AGTTCTGAGTCTGTCGCTGGCCTCATGCATCCCACCTTGTATCAATCCTATTGTATATTCTTTGAAAACCAAAGATATTAAAACCAGAGCACTGAAACTGTTCAGAAAAACTAAAGTTAATGCATAACATAATAAATAGACTGAAATAGTTTGAAATGTCAAACTGATTTCACGTCATGGGACACATACAGCCCACTTTGTTCTTAAATGGGCTAGATGAATGAAACTGTCCTTTATTTCAGTGTATAAAGTTTTAAATACAAGAAAACAAGGTGGTATTTTAGCTGTATGTCTTGGTTTTCTACATGTGTAGAGTTAAAGAAAAAGTTCTGGTACCTTATTGTCCAGACTGTCCTGTATTTATAAAACAAAGGTTATCTATAGGTGGTGAAAAACAGGAACTTTTCTGTCATTTAATCATTTATCTATTACTTCTTCTGGTTTACCATGATTGGTAATAGGGGAGGGGTTTTTTTTTAATAGGAAAAGCTGTTAATCATATGAAAATAATGTTTTCCCTTCCTTCACATGTTCTAGCCTGGCTGGATTATGCTGTTTTGTGCCCCCATGCTTTATATTTGAAACCTTTAGTTTAGAGAATCAGTGTCAAGAAGGCTGACAACAGGGTAATGTGCTGTAAACCTGAGTCTATAATGTTTACATCATTCAAGAAGAGGAGCGACAAAGTTTGTGATGTTTTTACTCTTAAACTACTTAAAGTACTGCTTAAGAAATTCATCTATCTCACTATTCTGTTAGTTATGTTTTCATATTATTAATTTGGTGGCTTGTGTGAATTTTTTTCATAATACTTACACCATTTTTATGAGGTAATAAGTAGCATTGTGATAAATTATGGAACTTTTAATGTGAATATTGAAGTTTTAAAATTTGGATTAATTGGAAAGGTTTTTTTATGAACCAATCAGGATTTCACATCTGTTATTTCAATAAGGAGAGCTTGTTAGAAGGAAATTTACACATAAGCTTTATTTAATTTAACTAGACTAATTTTGTGACTAAACTAAACTAACTGTCACATCATAAGTAACACTCCATATGTATACAATGGTTAAAATAAGTATTGAACATGTCACCATTTTCTAAATATATTTCTAAATATATTTATTTATTTATTGACATAACATTCTCAGCAGATGTCGGTAAAAACCCATCCAGTCCACACATGCAAATTAATTAAACCACAGATGTCCATAAAATATGTGTAATTAGTTAGAAATGACACAGTACTGACGAAAGGGAGGTGCAAAAAAACCTGACACCAGCTGTAATCTATCAGTGATTAGTAAGCAATCCTGCCACTTTGTGCAAATTAATGTCAGCTGGTTCAGTCCCAACTGATGCTACACAAGAAACATCTCATCATGGGTAAAACCAATGAGTCCTTGACCCTTGCAATTTCTCCATAAACCAGCCACGACCAAGTGCTCACCGCAAGATTTCACACAGAGGAGTGAAAAAAATCAGCAGGTACAATTGTGTCAAAGAAAACAATGGCCTATATGCACACTCATGACACAAGATTCCATTACTAAAGAAAAAG